CACATCCACACACATGGATTAACATCGATTTAAATACATTAATGTAGCCTTTGTTATGCTTAAAAGAGGTGTCGACCAGCTGGGGCAACAAGAAAATCGCGAAATCGAGTGTGACTATTTACAAAATAAATCCATTATTATATTAATTATTGACAATAACAACCGACAGTCGGAGTAAGCATTTGCTTGGCAATTTCCCAACGAGTAATGAATATACTGTATAGGGATCCTATTAATATCTAATGATAAAAATTATGAAATTCAATAACATGCTTAACCACCAGGTGTCCCTTTCTATCAGCTGTGCACCTTTATGGTGTAAATACAGCCTTATCTACCAATTGGATCAAATATAAAAGTCAGCCGAAATTAGTGTGATACTGCGAGGAGACGTATTGTTTCGAAGAGAAATGTAAGATGTTGTTTAATGCATGTATATATTTATGATCCCACGTCTGTTTTCAGTGTTGGGCGGGCCAGTTCCTCATAGTCCTTGCTGCATGCAGGGGCACTATAAATAGACGAACTACCAGCAGATATGTAATATTTAATGCAGCCGAACCGTGTTATTACAATGCAGTTATGTGATGACTTTCAAAGAGAAAAGCCAAGCACAGCTCGGAATAAAGTTTATGTTAATTTTTTTTAAATGTTTTCGGTCCTCTTTCCCGGTATTTGTTTTATGACCGATGTGAGTGTACGATGACCACTTGGTAACAATGAAAACGCGTTGGTATGGACACAATTTCCTGAAGTAATGCTTCGTAAATAACTAGCCAAACCTAAAGGATCATGTAGCATCCACCCTGGCACACATAATCTGACAATCAAACCTAATTATTTTCTAGCATCAAAATGACATCAAAACCGCCATTTTAATGGCCAAACTAACTTAAAATAGGGCATTTTCCAATCGAGAATAAAAAACGCAGGGATCGCTACATTTGCAGAGGGCCCGTTTTTGTAGAAATAGCGTACGTCCTACGTTGTGGACCGCAAGCGTAGTTACTTAAGCACGTTTTTTTTGGAGCTCGGGTTTGAAACGCCAAGCTCAAAAAGCGAAGTATCCAACGTGTTTTTAAACCCCGGAGCAGAAATAGGAACTCAGTCTCCCACTGTCAAGGCTAATGCTTGGAGTTATATTGGATTCGAACTTGACTTTTAAGAACACATATTAAGAAAGTATCCCCAAATAGCCATTAAATTCAACTTGCAAGCATTTTACAAGCAAAATCCAGACCTTGTCTTGACAGCCGGGTCCAATGCCTGCAAAGTCGAGTACCTCCACTGTATGATTCTATACCACTTGAATACTGTCTTTACAAACTGGTGCGTTCTGGCTTGTGCGCGCAAACCTGAAACCCAATAGAACAGCCTGTACACCAGAGGGCTGATCAGGTGTTTGAGCAGAAAGCCCAATTCATACCCACCACTGTAACGCATCCCTGAAAACACAATATCTTAAGTTTGACCCCAATTTTAAGTCTTTTGAAAGTATGTGTTTTTTTTATAAATGTTTACGTTGGACTTGGCCCCCCGGAATTAATCCCACAAAAAACACACTGAACGCTGCACTAAGTCAGAAACCAGAGGAGACTGTGAGGTCCACCGTAGACGGACCACTTTTGGACAAAATGTCCTCTCCATTAAAGGCAGCTCATTGTGGAATAGCCTCCCAACTGAGATACGGGATTGTCCCACTCTCAATAGTTTTAAAGGTCAACTCAAAGAATGGTTGAGAAACAAACAAACGTGCAATCACCGCTAAATGCACTTTAACACAGGGGTATCTCCTCTTGCACTTTATGTAGCTCTTGTATATTCTCTTGCACTTTATATGTCATTGCTGCTATATTATATTACCATGTCATAAACACTTATGTATGCTGCTCTTGCTCTTTTGTACTTTTTGCATAATGTATTTTGTTTTTGCTATGTTTGTAAAATGTAATTTTCTTAAATGTTTTTTGTGAGGGACTGCGGATGGAAATTAGCTCAAAGCTAAATCTGGCATATTTACGCTTGACACGTTATAATGTTTTAAGTGTTCATCACTCTGCATTGTCCCTGACAAATAAACTATTAAATGAAATGAAATAAAGCATCTATACATATTGTGCCTGACGAATTGGTTTATATGGTTCAAAGACAGGAAACAAAACAAAGATTCACAGTGAATCTGCTTTCTGTAGTTCTTGATCCAAAATGTGAAGTCATGAGGAAAGCAACATCATTTGTGCTTTAAAGATGTAAAAACATATTGTTTTAAATATTGTTTATTAAGTAATTCCTTCAATAATTATTTTAACTCCTGCTCAATATTCAAAACTCTTATTATTAACAATAATAGCAATATTAAATAATAAACACAACAATAATAGTATTGTTATAACTGTTCCAATTAATAGTTGTTGTAATAATAATAATAAAAAACTTTACTTTTTATTTATTTTTCATTTATTGTTTTTATTATAAAAAACACACACAGTGCTATTAAATTGTTAAATGTAGTATCGCCATTTTTTAAATTGTATAAAATATCTTCTTTAAAGATAGAAGATGAAGAACCAATAGGATTCCACAGGATGACGGTGGGCGGGACTTCCTGCAGGAAGACATTGTTATGTAGCTGTTTATCTGCAGCAAATGTTCCCCTCGTTTCCGAATTGTGTAGCTCATTCAAAAGGGACCGTGTTTTAACTGAAATACAGTGGAGACGGTTTAATTTACGTATATAACAGGGTCAGGATTAACACGACAATGCAGAACTTTACAGCGATAAAGTCGTTTGTTTTCCAGTATCCTAAAACTATTGCTGTGATCACAGTAACAGGTAATACTTTTTCAGAAGAAACAACGACTAACATCTTAGTGAGTCTAGTGTGTACACTCACGTAGTCTACCTTTACGCTAGTGCTTGATAATATACAGTGCAGTCTTTAATGATTCAGTTGAGAGACGGTGGTCCTGCAAAAACTGAAAGTGTTTACTGGTTGAATTCATGAAAATAAATGTGATTGCATGCTTAGAGAACTGACGTGTTTTGCAACAAATGTATAATGCTAAAAGTTTCGCTATTTAAAATAGCTTTTGAAAATGGTTTGACAAGTCCCAATGTTTGCTCTGTTGTTCTGTAATTGCTGCATAGGACCACAGCTACACAATCATTACATATTTACTAACCCATGGTTTGAGTAAATGGTGTGAGCCTTCATTTTAGTTATACAAATGAATGATGTATTATTGCCTCTATTGTTGTCTAAATGGTCCCCTGATGTGAGCTATGATAATAATAATAAAGGGATGTATGAATAGACATACATATTGAGCCTATTTTACAGCAATTAAGGTACATACAAGACATTCCTGATGAAACCCTATTCACTGTGATGAAAAAAACGGTATATTATTGTGTCTTCAATCATTTTCTCGAGCCAATTTTTTGCGTATTTGCTTGAAAACCATTAACTGATTGACAAAATATGTGCCAGTATTTTTTTATTTAAAACTTTTTTTATATGCGAATATATAAATACAACTGCAGATCAGTGAAGTGTCAATGATGGAGACGTATTTTAACTAACTTTTCCAACAGGAGTAGGACTCTTTGGAGTGAAGAAATGGATGGCAGGTGGAGTTTGTCGCAGTAAAGCCTCACTGGAAGGAAAGACCGTCCTTATCACCGGAGGCAACACTGGGATTGGCAAAGAAACCGCTGTAGACCTGGCTAGAAGGGGTTTGTGGCTTATCCAGTTTTTATGTTGTCACATTTAAGTATTTCATTTGAAAACTAACAAGATTTGCTGCTGCATTACAGGCGCAAGAGTCATTCTGGCCTGCAGAGACATGGACAGAGCCAATAAAGCTGCAGCAGAGGTGATGAAGAGGAGCGGAAACGACCAAGTTGTTGTCAGAAAGTTGGACTTGGCGTCTCTGGAGTCGGTGCGACAACTAGCCAAAGACGTTCTAGATAATGAAGAAAGGCTGGATGTTCTCATCAATAATGCAGGTAGGTATAAATCACTTCTCACCTCTGATGTGTGTGATATAACATCTTTATTAACTTTTTATTTTATTTTAGGTATTATGAGCTGCCCAGAATGGAAGACTGAAGATGGCTTTGAAATGCAGTTCGGTGTGAACCATCTGGGTCACTTCCTTTTAACAAACTGCCTGTTGGATCTCCTGGAGAAGTCGTCCCCGAGTCGCATTGTCAATGTCTCCAGTTTAGCTCATGAAAAAGGTGCCACTTTTCTCTTCTTTTAGTTCACTTCAAGAGATGTAGATAGACTTTTATTCTCTCACAAATGTTGTCCCTTCATTCATATTTTTATATTAAATGATTCCTCTGTGAATACTGCTTTCACTCAACAGGTCAAATCTATTTTGATGACATAAATCTGGAGAAAAAATACCACCCTTGGAAAAGCTATTCTCAAAGTAAACTAGCTAATGTCCTCTTTACAAGGGAGCTGGCTAACAATTTGAAAGGTATTAACATATTTTAAATGTACACCAAACATTACGCAGTTTTTAATAGACTCCTAGATTGTGTGAATGACACGTCTTATCATTTTGCAGGGACCGGAGTAACGAGTTACAGCCTGCACCCTGGGGTCATCCGTACAGAGCTCGGCCGACACATGTGGCCCGAAATGCCCCTGTGGAAGAAAGTTCTATTCGCACCATTCATGTTCCTCATCAAGTCTCCAACAGAAGGCGCTCAGACCACCATCTACTGCGCTGTGGAGGAAAGCCTGCAGAATGAAAGTGGACTCTACTACAGGTCAGTCATTGTGAATCAGTAGCTTCATTATTAGAAGTGAGACAGCCACGTTCAATACAAGATTCAAGGGGAACTTCATTGTTCTACAGAGTATTTTGAACACTTAACATACAGTACAAAGGAGACATTGACAGCAGTAACGAATACTCCAAGTATATAACATAGGTTGGGTCATTAACTATTCTTTTGGCTTATGTCTGACATAATACACTCTGAATCAACATAGGAAATGCAGTCGTGGTTGTCTTCTGCTACAGCTATCTTCTATTTTATAAGATACACTGGCAAATAAGTGATGGGCCCAATGTGCTAGCAAACAATTATCTATTTATCAAGCAGACAAAATGGTATTCATTTGGGTTTCATGTTCCTTTCCACCCGATAATTGACGCTCTTTTTTGCTCTCCAACTGAGTCATGAGGGAAAAATCTGGCTTTTGTTGATGGCCAGGTATAATACAGTGTGCTTATCAGAGCTTTTTTAGAGAAAATATCTGCCTGCTGCACAGAAGAGATTGATTTAAAATAGATTAAAATGATCCATAGAGCTGAGTGGGGGCTGCAGTGGCGGGTCACAATTAGTGACCACTTTCAACTACATCACAGTTGTCATTGTTGTATAAAAAAGGACCCAAGATCGGTCAAAAAACAGGACTCAACTAAAGGCCATTATCAAGTCAGTGAATAATGCCAAACTAAATAACCATGAATCAAATTACCACAAACCAATTCTTATTCATCATGAGCATTTTTACTTGTGAGTAAATCAGCATTGTGGAAATGGACCAAGTCACATGTCTAACAGTGAATTGTTCACTGATTACAGCGACTGCGCCCCTAAAACCGCCGCCCCCCAGGGCCTGGATGATGAAGCTGCCAAGAAGCTGTGGGATCTGAGTGCGGCTATGGTTAGCCGGACATAATCACGGTGACATCGATGATGCTCATCATCATCATCATCTTCATAGTACCAAAGGACTAACAAGTGGCCTGAGGACGGACTGATGCTCTCTCGAATGAGCATCTGTGTGGCCACTATCAGCTGAGCTCCTACTTAACGTGACAAATAAGTAAACAGACAGCATTCACAAGAGATAGACATTTATTCAGAATATTCAACAAACTACTTGCAAAAATACTATGGATTTCAGTTAAACAGAAGCAATGCTTCACAGTTAAGTAACATGGAAGCTGTATGATCTTTAGTTTTGATTGCCATTAGCGTGAAATGACATTTAAAGTGACAAAATTCAACAATGTCTGTTGACTGAGGGGTTGAATGTCATTTAATGTTACTTGATTTAATCATATAAGGATTACGTGTGCTTGAAGGTTTGTAACACTGTTAATAGCAACCTTTTTTCTCCTGGGCAATAAAGTGCTGTTATACGTAGCCCATGGTTGTACCTGTTTCTTAAGGCATGTTTTTCATTCATACACATCACGTATATTCTTTGTAGTGTTCCATATGAGACCAACAATATTGAAATAAAACACATTTTGGTTACATCATCATGAATTACAAATGCTCCTAATACATTAAATGTATCTGTCCATTTTTTTTTTTTAGGTTTATTTATCTGAAAGGCACTTTTTACAAATTTGCTACAAACAGTCACATTTCATCTTACTCAAAGCTACATCTCAGACAAGTGCATCACAATTTTCTTTTAAAAAGAAAGCCCATTAATGGTGCTAATTACATATGCACAATTTGCACCCATGTGGCCTGCTGGCTACAAGTGGACCCTGTATGTTCCCTACGCAGTACATTATTCTGTAAGAGAGCTAGTTCAGAGGAATAGTACCGTTACTTGGCATTTACATTCAAAACTGTAATACATATACAGCAGATGCTGTGTCAAAAGATAATAATCCTTCAGGTTGGGTTTAACACAGGGAGGAAGTCTATCTATATTGCTCAGTTTCAATATATATGTATATGTATATATATATATATTAAATAAATTATACATTATTCAACATCTAGATGGCTGTGAGTCTACACAGCTGAACATATGGATGTACATCCTGACAATTTATGGTGTTCACATTTCTACAACAACAATATGCGCTGCATTAACACCACTACTAACTAATGAGCCTGCTCATCAAAATCAGAAAGTTGCTTCATCTGCTCCACTTGCATAGAGTGCCTCCTCACAAGTTTCTTCTTGGACTTGAGGCCGCCTCTCTTTGGTGTGTTTGGTGCTACTGGAGCTATAGATCTAATCCCTGTGGCCAGAGGAGAGGAGGGCTTGCTACTCGCCCCAATGTCAGGAATGGGAGGGTTGGGGTTGATGTTGAGAGGGGGCAGTTGTCCGGGCCTGGTGTGAGAGATGTGGTCCAGCAGTAGAGTGCCTGAGCCTCTCCTCTCCAGGAAGCCAGGTACCCTCCCGCGTGCTGCGCTGGGGGAAGACGGGCTGGTGTTGCTCTCTAGAGATTCCCTGGAGCTGGTCAGAATCGCTAGTGGAGAAGTGTTTAGTTTCCTTCGATCCCCTGGGATCTTCGGAGAGTCTAACATGGCAGAGCCTGAGTAGAGCTGTGAGTCTGAGTCATAGTGGTCGTTCCCCAGATGTCTTATATGCATTGTGTCTCTCAGACTGCTGCTGCAGCTGCTGCTCTCCTCTGTGGGCACAGTACTGCGCCGGGCCAGCAGCTGGTGCTGGCCTACAGATCTCTCATATGATACTTTGGACGTTGGAGGAACTGATATCGAGGTTGTCATTTTGCAGGGTTGTTCGCCCACCAGCGGGAACAAGCTGTCCTTCCCATCCACACTGCTCTGTCGAGATAAAACTGACCTCTTACTAAGAGAGAGTCCGTTCACCCCTGCGACAACATCCTCATCAGTGCTGGCTTTCTTGCTCTCATCTTGGGCGGCGGCTGCTGCGGCCAGGACTGAGGGAGCGATCAGCCCCCAAGGCTCTGACTGCAGCCTCTTCAGCTGAGGCAAACGTGCACGCTTGGGATTTGCAGTCCGGCGTGTTGGAGACGTGGGCCCGTTGGCTAGCTTTGAAGCAGAACTAGAGGTTTTTAACTTGGTTTGGAAACTGAAGACTGTGTTTTGTTGCTCCTGCTCAGGTGTGGGAGATGCAGTGACATTAATGTCAGACGGAGAGGTGCAGTACTCTAGGGAGGACCTCTCATCCAGCTCTGGTGATGGGGGGACATTTAGGTACTGCTTGGTAGTTTGAGTGCCAGACGGGGATTTGTCCGTGGTGATTATGATGACTTCCTTGCCTTTAGCTTTGCATGCATCCAAGAGCAGCTTTAGTGTTGCCTTGTCACCTGCGTTGATAGCATAGACCAGTGCTGAGGCCTTGCTCCTGTCCTCCAGACTGGGATCAGCTCCATTGCTCAGCAGGTGGTCCACCACCTCATGCCCGGCTTTGTTGATGCAGGCGTGCATTAGAGCCGTCCTGCCAGCTTTGTCCTGTATGTTGGGGTCTGCCTGGTTGTCCAGCAGATATTTCAGAAGCTTTGACTTGCTCACACTCTGCTGGTCACTGTGTGTGGACATGCAGGCCACCATGAGGGGCGTCTCTCCACGTTCATTGCTCTCGTTGATGTATGCACCTCCTTCCAACAGGAGCCTAGTTAGTCGCAAGCGCCTGAGCCATACCGCCTTCAGGAGAGAGTTTCCATCTGTCCGCAGCTCGAGTATATCTGCCATCTCCCAGCCAATCAAAGGTATTCTCAATGTTGCACTTACAGCCCACAAACCTTTGAAGAAATCAACAAAGAAGTTCAGCATACATTGCAAAGATTTTTTTAAATAAGATCATATTTTTTGTTTCTCTAATGTTGTTGCTAAATAATCACTACCAGCAGGTGGCAGTCAGTTATAACACAAGGGTTGTAATATAACTTACCGTCACATATTTTCGATATAGGAAATATATTTTTTACATAATAATTTAGATGATGGTAATGTGCAAAAGATATATTTTTACAAAGGTGAAACTAATCATGGCCAAAAATCATGCCAATGCTGGAGACACATAGCAGCACCTGTTAGATTCACAAAGACAAATACCGATTGATGATGATGATTTGTTAATTTTAAATATCAAAGTTTATATTGTTATCTTCGTAGAGACAGGAGATTGTTTGTGTTTTCATATTTATAAAAGCGACGATTAAAAGCATTAATCAACCTCAAGTGCGCAAAAGCACCAGCCTTGCTTGCAAAAATGCCTATTAGACTGTACATAGAGGTGGTTTTCAATGTATAAAATTAAGATAGGGAGAAAAATCTGCATGTAGAGGCGAAATCAAATATCGGCACCATGTGAGCCGTAAGAGTCGCTGTCCAAGGTTATCATGTTGGAGAACTTGCGACAGAAACGCGCTCCATTACACAATTTGTTGGTCGTCTGTTCGTCCGTTAAATTCTGCATTTGAAATTGTTTCCTTATGTAAATATGAAATAACATAATATAACATTGTACACACATCGTATTGTATTTTAAGTAATGAAAAGGTTAATCTTTTTTGTTTACCGTCCTCCTCTAAGAAAAAGAAAGCACCGACGCAAGATAACGACATTTGAAGTTGAATTAATGAAGCCTCGTTTTCATTATTTTGTAATTCGATAATTAACCAAACATAAAGTTGCTTTGCTAATTGTCTTACCTGTTCAGAGGAGAGGTTTTCCATGCTCAAAGTACCCATTGCTTTCTGATGTAAGAGTGAAAAAATCGTGGGAAATCAATTATTCAAAAGAGAAAGTTTGTTGCAGTATTTCGCAAAATCCCTATTTTTATAGATGCGACTCTTTCTATCTACATTACGCGTCCTGGTTTAGGTGTCAGGGCGCCGTCCCTCTGTGGCACCATAGCACATGAGCGCTGTGGCTTTTGTGATTCCGGCTCACTACATCAGTCCAATGGGGAGTATTCCTTTCACTGCGCACTCAAGGATCACAACCTGGAGATGCTGCGGGTTATAAATAACTTACTTCTTGCTTGTTGAATGAAACGTGTATTCTCTTGACGTCAGAGTCGACTGAAATAAATTGCGTCTGATGAAAACCTATGTCCTGATCTTCATACGTGCAGCTCACAAACACATGTTAATGTTCTGCGTGTGGGTATTATATTTACATCTTTTCAAAAAGGATACTTTTCAAATGAAAGCAGCGGACACTGCTGGACCCACATGAAAACAAGCAATTTCGCTGGTTCTTCTTTTATACTTTTTTTTACATTTGTGAATCCATCTCTTAGATTGTAAACCTGTTCTATAAATACAATGTAATCTGTCTGCAGTGTGGAACATCAGTGCCAGTTGTTAGAATAAAGACAATCTTCCTATCTGCCATGTAATAAAGGGCACAGCGAAGATCATTGATCTCAAATATGACAAAGCAGGAATCTGTTCTTGATCCACATCACACTGCTTCCTGAAGGAAATGCCAATATGTAAAACGTATGGGCTTCTTAAACCAGATATCTTGTTAGATTTCTTATAAGCAGTGATAAATATGATATAACATCAATAATAATTAGGGTTTATTTATGCATATCTCCAACCAATGCGTCTCGGATTGGCTTGTTTCACTGCTCAATAAACGAAGAGATGGAGCACAAATATTCCACACCTATATATATTTATTGCACAATTAAAGAGGCCAAAACTTGCAGCAGCCATCACAGCTATACAGCCTAATAGGGACATTTCTATTTTTAGGTTGCTATGAGACAGCACAGAAGCAGTTTCTAATGAGAACAGTGACGTTCTCAGCCCTGCAAAGAACAGGTAAATCAGACACATAACATTCCACCGTGGACCGCCAGGCTTTTGTGGCATTTACTCAAATACTTTTTAGATTGTGCCTGTTTTTTTTTTCACTTGCACATGTAAGCAGCCACCAGGTTCAATCATTAGCCCTCTGACCCCTGCTCTTTTCCTCTGAGACTGGAACTAATCACTTCATGACCCATCCAAACACTTGACGTATCAGGACTGCAGTCGTCAATGCTGCCAGTGATTTCTCACCTGTGATTGCCTTCTCAGCCCCCGGGGATATGTTGTTTACCAGGCACATGGAGAAAGTGGTTTTATAAAGCAGCACATACAGTTGTCATCCAAGGCAAAATAATGGGTTCCTACTATCCAAGATACATTGCAATAGAAATAAGCAACAGTCTTGATTTTTAATGGAATATTTGTGATACTTTACATGTCAAATATTGTTGCTACATCTTTCAAAGTGCAGAACTGAAGTTACCTGTAATTGTTTGGTTGTACCTATGCTTTTGGGTAAAGATAACCTAATGTGCTACAGTTATTATAATTGTGTAGAATGTAGGGTTTTTGTGCACTTGATATTACCTGTATCATGGACAGAGCTGCTGTCCACAGAGAGATGATGGACGCGGCGGCACAGACAAAGCCAAGGCTCAATGGCTTGGACACATTCATTAGCACTGGGAGCAACAGGACGTCAGCAGTCCTCATGCAGCGTGATCTTTGCCCTGAAAATGCTGTCGTCGGCGGTCTATTAAAGGGGAAATAAATAATTAAGGTGGATAGAATAAGCGCTGTCACCCCTGGGAGCAGTTTCCATTTTCAGATATCTTACATCACAGCTGCTGCTCTTCCTCCCCTTCTTTCTAAATATAACCTTTTCTTCAGTCTGCATTGGGAGGTTTATATTCAACAGTCTTACTGTAGATCGGAGATTATATTTATAGATCCTTTCGAAGTTCATGTAAAAAGTTTTTAACAATTATTAATAGTGATTTCGAGTCTGATAGCAATGAATCATCGAGTAGTCAGAAACAGTAATCATTATGTTGGGCCCCAACCAATGTCAGTGTTTCAACAGTCAAGAAATACAAAATAATAAAGTGTTTTCAGGTTTTAAACAAGTCAAACAATGTTTTAAGCTCTCAGACTTCAGAGGGGTTCAAGGGGCAACACCTAGAATGAAAATAAGTTATGAAAGCATGATAACAAAAAGATGAACACAGGCCATTGAAGAATGGGACACAGCCAGACTGTGCTGAGCACTAGTTGCATTGACTGCCATAACAGCCTAGCTTAGTATAAAAAGTGAAAAGAGGCTGCTTCTGGCATGCTTTATAGTAACCATACGGATCATAGGGACGCGTTTTTGGCATTTGACTGAAGAGGGTATAGCTAAGTACCCTCGAACGCTGCTTCAACTAACTTGCATGAATTGAGCACATGTGATGGTTCAAAGCTAAAAGACCAAACACCTGCCTGTTAAAATCAATGTAGCCCCGCCATAATGCATACTCTACTGTCTATTTCACTCTAGATGGGACCATTATTGTCATGGCTGGAGGGCAAGGTACACAGGACCCAAATGCAGAAGATTGGTTGAAATCCAAAATACTTTTATTGCGGAACTAGGCCAGGCAACAAAGTCAAATAAGGCAAGACAAAACGTAAAAATCCATCAGAACAAAATCCTTCCAGCAACATCAAGAATCTCACAAAGACTAACAGAAAAAGCAGAACCTAAATGCAGTTGCACACAGGACTAATCAAACAAACAAGACACAGGTGAGGAGCGAGGAGAAAACACAGGGGCACAATCGGGTAATCAGGCAGGAGGGAACACAGAGACAGGAAGCAACAGACAAGACGGGGGGTGAACACTTTTCAAACTAAAAAAGGAAAACAAAGATAGATCTAGACAGGACAAAATAAAACATAGACAGATCGTGACAATTATTTTCCAATGAATATCATGCTGTATTGAAAAATACTTGATACCATAGCGATTGAGACCATTATCCTCTCAGGATTTAAAGCAATTCATCAAACAAGAATTGGAGTCATTTTCCAACAGACTTCTATGTATATAACAGGATATTTGTTGGCATTGAGGAGTCGATCCTGCTCTATATTATAATGGCTTCACTCTAAAGCTGGTAGAGTGGTTGGTTACCAAGCCTTTACAGTCAACTTGTCGGTGTATCCTTGGGAAAGATACTTAACCCCAAATTGCTCCTGATGACATGGCCAATGATATGTAAATGTAAGTTTCCCTGAGCTGAGATGGAACCTTAAATGGCAGCTTCTATTCTGTTCAATTGTTTGTGAATTTGTTTATGAAGAAGCGCTTTACTGAGTTTGTAAAGACTGGAAAAGCACATTATAAATTCAGTCCATTTACCATTTTTTAAACCTGGAGTTTTCAGCTAGATACAGACATAATATTAATCTTCCCATCTAATCTTTGGCAAGAAAGCAAATAAATGTACTGCCCAAAATGTCAAACTTGAAGAGCTGATCTGAATCTTCTTCTAAAAAAGAAATCTGCTGCTGTTATTCATGAAGATCAAAATTGTTTTTATACAATTATCTCATGAGGGACATCTTTGTTTATTCTGCCCATCTTGACAACTCCATTTGCATTTCGACACAGACGTAGATTTTTCCACAGCATATATCCTTTGTTGTTGCGGTGCTTGTTTGTGATTCTTCCTCTGTGCTGGTTGTCTCTTTAAACACTGAGTTTGACATTCTCATGGCATTTGGTGTCACTGCGATTGTATCAAGCGAATGTGTGGGCTGCGACAGCGATGAACTGGCAGGAACCCCGCTGCAGCTTTGCACCGGACTGCTCCATGCCTCCCTCCTACCTCGGCAGATTTAGGAAAAAATGCCTTCAGTGCAGCTTAAAAACCTGCTACCCCTCACATATGCTGCAAGTTATTTTTTCTACTATCCACGCATGATTATGTCCCATGAAGTATAACACATTTTCAGACACTTTGATGTTTTCATATTGAGAATCGCTACTTTTTTTCTACTTGAAGTCTTGGTTCCACTCCTCCTCTGCCTCCTTCATCGCTCTTTCTGTTCTTTCTCATCTCGCGGTGCAAACCAACACCTGCCCTTCTGGTGAGCAGTAATTGAGTAGAGCATTATTCAATAGCATTATTCAAGAGCATTATACAGACAACAATTTTGCTGTGTGATCATTGTGTATGTCTGCTGTATCCTAGGAGATTGATGCATATCTAATTTTGCAGAGTGGGCACTTTGATGTCCTGCGTGTTGAATTTTCTGTTTAAGCTCAACATCCTGCTAATGAAGCAGAGGGCCTGACGCTTCAGAATTGGTTGCTTATCAACTCCATGCCCCACTTATTAGGAGTTGTTGTGGAGCCTTTAATTGGATATCGGAATTGGAGGCGCCTGGATGGTCTGCCAGTAATCAAGTGCTCAAGATATATCCACAGATGAAAGTAGTGTTAACATCATTACGAATTTTACCTTCAATATCGAAAAACCAAACACTTCCGCTTTCTTCTCTATATTTCATGATCGCCTTTTCCTCTTTTCCTCTAAATGAACAAGTGTCCCTACGATTTAGCTTGCGTACTTTGGGATGCAGAGTTTATGATTCTGTAAAGCCGTCTCACTAACGGCAGAAGTAATTGGTGGCAAATTGATGTTTTGGAAGGATCTGTCACACCTCTGTTCACACCACCAAATCAAAAGCTTACCAATGTGTCTGCCTCTCATGGAGCCAACAGCAAACACTCTCCCTGAAACACTAGAGACAATCTGAAGCCATCTCTAAATGTATACTGTGTGTCAAGATTACTGGGCCTTTTACACCTTGTTGTTTAAAGATGTAATTCACCTAAAACGTTTCATAATTGCATGTTGAGTGTTTTATATCTTTATTAGATAGACTTGTGGAACGGGGTAGAAGATTTTGTTGTGGCTTTAAATACATTTCAGAGCGAAGAGTGTTTTTTGCGCTGTGAATTCATCTCACACTGTCTCAGAGCTGCATCTGTCAGACGTTTGGGTCTGTCAGAGTATGTGGGTACATCAGTGTGGATGAGTGGATGTTCTGACAGCGAGTTGGAGAACTTTAGTTCTGCAGTTCACACCCGTGAGA